GAGTATACTTCAAGAATCAGTTGTGCTCCTGAATGCGAGTCTGAGTAGCCTTCCGCACCTACATGGCAAAACATTCACTTATCAGCTGGGTGCTACCAAACGACTGTCGTATTGAAGTGTCGTGCTGAAAATCCTTAACGGATGCGTTCGTTAAAGTTCCCAGCGGTTTCGATTCCAATTCGATATTCAACGTTTGAAACAAGATCAGTTCATTACTTGATATTTTCAGGAGAAAATGGTGAATCATTTCGTAATTATTGAATTTTACACGTACACTGTACAAGGAGCTATTATTGCTCTACCAAATGGTTTATTGACGTATAAAATGCTAACGAAGAGATCGTTACGAAAAAGCTATTCGATTATTCTTTGGCAGGTTTGTGGCTCACTGGATCACATTCCGAGACACTGAAGCGGATATCGAAAAACTTTGAAGAACTGACTAAAACTATTCTCAAAATGTGATCGTCTGACCAGATGGAATTCTATTTTTTAACTACTAAATCTGCAAAAATGTTCAAAAATTAGTCATTAAATCGAATGTCTCTCTCGATTCAGACATTTTAAAGCAGCATTAGGTAAGAAATCGCAATTCCGAGAATACTGGAAGATAATTGGGCAGATGAGGTGTTCAGTGAAGTTGTCAGTAATTTTACATTTAATGAGTAACTATTAGGTAACTGAATTTTAAAAAATATGAATGGCAACAAACGTCTCTTACAAAACGGTTCAAATGAATCATTCTCTCATCAGGGATAATTTCTTATTATGCAGGTATTTGTGAATGCCTTTTTGGGCGTAACGCAACTGATAGCTGGAGTGATTCGTCTCACTATATTGTATAGCACTAATCAGCAGGAATATCGAAGTAGAAGTTTCTGTATCCTGATGCCGTGGAACTTGATGTCATCTTGGTGTGCAGTGGGCATCTTCCATTTTTAAAATTTTACGAATTTTCACTGAAACATCCAATGGACTCTACCACTGAAGAACATTAAACTTTCGACGATCCATAGACTGTTTTGATAAAAATGATCCTCCTCATCGTATGTTGATGAGAAAGTGCAGCAATAATCCTAACCATCCTGTTCTTACACTCATCGATCAGCTCTTCGATTTCGCCTAATCATAGCTGAACTTCTCTTTTTGATCAATTTTAGGAGAGAAAAAAACTCGACTTTTGTCTATTTGCAGGGGGGAACCAATGGTTGCGATATGCTTATTGATGGTCAGTATAGACCGTCTTATTGCATTGATAGCGCCGATCACTTACTTTAAGCATAGTTCACAACTTCAGAGCGTTCAAGTATCGTTCCTTTTAATTTTTTGGCATTTTAGCGGTTCTGCTTCACTTTCAAATCATTTCTTCCGCTTTTTAACGACAATTTCCCGTAAATCAGATGAATTTCGCACTTTTACAATCGCACTATACAACGAGATTGCCTTTAGTCATTACTGTTATTGCCATTCTTCAGATGCTATCCTCAAAAACATTTCATTCTAATTCGGTCACGTCTAGCGACATGAATTAGATGATTGAAAGGTCATTTAGGGTCAATAATAATGATTTATGCAGTATTCTTTCAGTTAATTGCGTGGAATTTGTTCTTACTTTCAATCACATTACCGAATTGGTATTTTTCTTTGGTGGAAACGAATGTGTTCATCAGTAATTTTTGTTGGTGAGTTCCAAAAAAAATTCGTTTGATCTCCAGTAAGTTTCTAGGAGTTTTCTAGAACATTTCCACCAAAATTGGATTCCCTGAGGTTCTCCGTGTTCCTGAGGGAGTATTCATTTGTGGATAATTTCATTCATAATTCGTATCCTTTGCTAAATTGGTGACTGGTTTTTAATAGCAACTCAAAAAAGATTTATGACAATGAAGAAGGCTTTCACCAATTTTTGGGAAGCTTCTCACAGTTAGCATTGCTTTAGGATGCATTGTTGTTTGTGTAGTTTGTGGTCCATTCCACCCGAAGAGCATAGCTTTTGAGGAGCTCATAAAGCGATATGGTT